ATAGAACGTATCACTGAAACTTATTCCACAACAGTAATAGAACGTATCACTGAAACTTATTCCACAACAGTAATAGAACGTATCACTGAAACTTATTCCACAACAGTAATAGAACGTATCACTAAACTTCCTAAAATTTTCCACAACAAATCAACAGTCTATAGAAGCATTTTTATCCGTCATTGTTGTAAACAAATGATTATTTATAGATAATAAGATCACCCCTACATGAATCTAAATCCATTTTTTCTAAGCATTTGCTATTTACAGACTCATAAATAAGGAATTAATTAGAGACTTCTTCTTTCGATGAAGAAGAAAATCTGCATATCATTAAAGTATCAAAGAAGATGACATTGAAAAGATTGTTACCTTAAAAGAGTGACTGATAGGCAGCTTAGTTCCTTTGGTTCTCCATTACCAATTGCACACCTTCTTCAGTTGATAAGTCATTAGTATGCTTTTCAATTGATGACTGACTATTCATCACCTATGTGTTCGAGCTTGGCTCCTGAATCGTATACGAGCTGCCTCGTGCGCTTCTTCCTGGCTCTATCCAGCTGTATCCGGGCAACTTTTTCACTCCCTTTGATTTCATTTCCCTCCTTAAAGAGTCAGCTTGTTTCCAATTCTCTGATGCAGCGTATATGCTAGAGAGAAGCACATACGGTGAAGAACTTTGTGGTTTCAGTTCCATAAGTTTCTCAGCCGCACGCCTCCCCCTAACTTCATCTCCATGCTTTCTGCAAGCTCCGAGCAAAGTCGACCAGAGCATCGGATCTGCTTTGCATCTGAGTCTGTTGATGAACTCCTCAGCTTCATTAAGGAAACCCCATCTCCCAAGAATGTCTACCATACACCCCAAATGATCAACTCTTGGCTGTAACCTGTAATGGCTAACCATCACGTCGAAGATCTTTCGGCCTTCGGACACTCTTCCTGCATGGCTACAGGCAGAAAGAACACCAAGGAACGTAACATCATCAGGCATGATAGATTGTTGCTCCATCTGCCTGAAAATTTCAAGTGCTTCTTCTGAATAGCCATTCTTTGCAAGTCCAACTATCATGGAGTTCCAAGAAACGACACTGTTTCTACAACGCATTTCATGAAAAACTTTAACAGAGCTTTCAACATCACCACATTTTGCATACATATCAATAAGGGAACTACAGGTGATTTCATCCATGTTAAAGCCCGTATGGAAGATAAGGGAATGAATCTCTTGACCGTTTTGTAGAGAAGACAATCCAGAGCATGCTCGAAGAACACTCGCAAACATTGCTTGGTCGGGTAACATATTCTCAGATCGCATATGTTGATAGAATCGCAACGCCTTCTCATAGTGATTGTTTTGTGCACATCCTGAAATGAAAGCAGTCCATAAAACTAAACTTTTTGGATACTGCAACTCAGAGAAGAGTGTTTCCGAGTCTGAGAGTCTTTGGGAGTTCATATACATGCACAAGAGAGACACACACACCATTTCCCTACCTAACAGAAAACCCCTCTTAATAACTTGACAGTGAACTTGCCTTCCTAGTTTCAGCAAAGATGCTCCATCGCATCCATCTAAAAGCCCTGCAAATGTTACTTCCGTAGGTTTAAGTCCAACCATCTGCATCTCTTGAAATAGATAAATAGCTTCCTCTAAATGGTTCACAGTGTAGCCAGCAATCAGAGCGTTTACTGAGACGACACTTCGACACGGCATAGAATAAAAGACATCCCGAGCTGCCGAAAGAACCCCGCACTTGACATACATGTCAATGAGGGAACTTCCAGCACAAATGCTTGTATCTAAACCAACTTTAACTAAGAGACAGTGACATTGTTGCCCTGGTTTCAACTCCTGAACATTTGCACAAGCACTCACTGTACTGGCTAAAGACACCTCATCTGGAAGATCTCCATTGCAAACCATTCTTCGAAACATGGAGAAAGCTTCATCATTATACTCTTCCTGAACATATCCTACAATTATTGCATTCCATGAAACATTGTCATGAATCTTCATCAACTCAAACTGTTTTCTTGCTTCCTTTAAAGCCCCAGATTTAGCATACATGTCTACCAACGCATTTGCAACAAATAGATTAGATACAAACTTGTTTTTGATCATAACGTTATGAAGTTGACGACCGAAATCGAGATACTGCAAGGAGGCACATGCACTGAAAATACTAGTGAAGGTAAACTCATCAGGCTGAGGTCCATACCGTTTCATATATGAGAACAAATCCATCACTTCATGAGCAAGTCCGTTCTGCGCGAAACCTGCAAGCATAGCATTCCACAAGACAATATTTCTCTCTTCTAAAGAATTGAACACTTCATTCGCAGCATCCATTTTTTCACATTTAGCATACATATTCACCAATGCACTTCCTACATACACATTATCATTTAACCCTTCCTTAATCACCTGAGAATGAACCATTAAGCCATAATTCAGCATCGATAAACTAGCAATTGCACTCAAAACACTTCCTATAGTAGACCTAGTGGCTTTTAGGCCAGTTCTCTTCAATTCAAGAAAAAATGAAATGGCTTCCTCTGCAAATCCTCTCTTTGCATGCCCTGAAATCATCACATTCCAAGCTACAATATTAGGATTGGGCAACTGGGCAAACAACTTACGAGCATCACCAAGCCTATCTAGAGCAACATAAGCATTTATAACAGTTACAAGCGCTATCTGATCAGGTACAAGTCCAACTGTCTGCATTCTATCAAACACTTTGACTGCCTCCTCAGGTAAACCATCTTGAACATACCCAGCAATCAAGGCTGTCCATGAAACAGTATCCAAATAAATTGCCCCATCAAACACCAAGCGAGCATCTCTTAGATCATGGCATTTGGCATACATATCAATTAACCCACCTTGACAAAAAGAACTAAACCCAAACCCCATTTTAAAAACACCACAATGCACTTGTCTACCATAGTTAACATCCAACAACCTAGAACAAGCAGATAAGACCATCGCAAACGTGAACTCATTAGGCCGAACCCCATCATTCCACATAGACACAAAAGATTCAACAACAGTTGCAAATAACCCATGCTTAGAGTACATAGAAAGCACCGAATTCCAGGCAAATACATCCTTCTTCTCCAGCCGGGAAAATACCTTCTGAGCATAATCCACATTGCCGCATTTGACATAGAGATCAACAATTGCATTGCCCAGTAACCCATTGAGCCCAACTCCAATCTTCAAACTCTTCGAATGAATGACCTTCGCTGTTCTCAATACTTGAAGAACTGGTTCAGGCTTTTCATCGAACAGGTTGTGGGCTTTGATTCGCCTGCAGTGATGCAAGCAAAG